TGATCACGTTATTATAGTTATTCAAGAATCCAACAATATTGAAACCTTAAAACTGGAAGATTTGATTGGTTCGTTGGAGGCGCATGAGATTAGGATTGTCGAAAGGAAAGGAGATCAAGACTCGATACAAGCACTACAAGCTCATTCATGGAAGAAGAATGGCGGTTCCAACAAGTTCAAAGGCAAAATCGACAAGACTCAGGGCAAAAAGTCTTGGTCAAATCTTCACAAGAATAAGATCGATGATAAAACTTCTGAATCCTCGAAAAGAGGAGAAAAAAATTCCTATCAGAAAGACAAAGTAGAGGAAAAAAGGTGTGCAGTGTTATAACTGTTAAAAGTGGGGTCACTTGCCCAAGCATTGTTGGTACATTCTAATGATTCTGATGATATGGCTGGTATGGTTGCAGTTGTAGATGACCATGTCGAATCCAGGATCTGGTCAAAGAAGAGAAATGTCAAATTTGCTGATAATTTCTCGTTGCAAGCAAAAGGTATTGGCAACATAGTTATTCAAAGGAGTAATTAAGCAAATACCTTGATCAAAGATGTACTCTATGTCCCCGAAATGAAGTGCAATCTGCTAAGTGTTGGACAACTAGTCGAAATGGGTTCTCAGTTGTTATGAAAGATGGAGTCTTAGAAATTTTCAACATCCAGAATAAATTGGTCTTTAAATCTCATATTTCAAAGAATAGGACATTTAAGGCCATGATTAGTTCGACTGAGGTACAATGTCTTAAAACAGTTGTCGACCACAAGAATAGTTGGTTGTGGAATCTAAGGTTTAGTCGTCCAAACTTTAGGTCGCTCAATAAACTGATGACTCAAGATATGGTAACTGTTATACCAAGTCTTGAGATGCCTGACAAACTTTGTGAAGGTTGTCTAGTCGGAAAGCAGTCCAGGAAGTCTTTCGTTTCGACTATGCCAATGAGATCATCCTGCATACTCAAAGTTGTACATTCAGATGTATGTGGTCCTTTTGAGGATCATACCACTGGTGGAAACAGGTATTTTGTTTCGTTTATTGATGAGTTTAGTCGAAAGTTGTGGATCTATGTGATCAAGAGAAAGGACGAAGTATTCTAAATCTTTAAGAGATTCAATATGCTTGTTGAAAACCAAAGTGAGAAGAAGATCAAAGTTCTTCGAACAGATGGAGGTGGTGAATACACATCTAAGATATTTGAAGCATTCTGTGCATAACATGGTGTTAACCATAATGTAACTGCTCCTTATACCCCTCAACATAATGGAATAGCAGAAAGAAGAAACAGGATCATATTGGACATGTTGAGATGCATGCTGAAGCACAAGAATTTGCCAAAGTCCTTATGGGGTGAAATTGTTTCTATTGCTGGTTATATTTTGAACAGGTTCCCTATCAAGAGGCTGAAGAACAAGGTTCCTAAAGAAGTGTGGAGTGGAAAACGACCATCAGTTAGTCATCTGAAGGTGTTTGGCTATATTTGCTACAAGCATGTTCCTGATGCAAGAAGAAGGAAGCTTGATGACAAGAGTGAACTTATGATTCTGGTAGGATATCATAAGATTGGAGCATACAAGTTATTCAATACAATGAACAATAAGATCGTGATGAGTCGAGACATTATGATTAATGAGAACCCTGCATGGGATTGGAATTTTGGTGATCCAATTAGCAAGCCATTAATGAGCTATGATTTTGACAAAGCAAGTAATAATTTCGAAGTCGAAGATATTATTGACATTCCAGTTGAAGTAGAAGTTGTTACTGACATGCCCCCATAGTCGAAGTCGAAGAAGATATGGTTGTAACAAGCTAGAGACCTCAAAGAACTAGAGCTCGTCCAGCAAGAATTCAAGATTATGAAGTGATTGGTCATGATGAAATCACAACAGACAGAGAACTAGTTCATTTTGCTTTACTTGCAGGTGTTGAGCCAATCAATTATAGTGAAGCCTTCAAAGTTAAACAATGGAAGTCTCCTATGGTCGAAGAGTTACAAGAAATCGAAAGAAACAACACATGGGAAATGGTCGAATTTCCAGCACATACAAAAACTATCGAAGTGAAGTGGGTGTTCAAGTTGAAGCACAATATTGATGGTTCGATAGTAAGACATAAGGCGAGATTGGTAGCTTGAGGATTTCTTCAGAGAGCAGGAATCAACCACTCTTAAGTATTTGCACCTATCGCAAGATTGGAAACTGTTCAACTAGTTGTAGCTTTGGCATGCAAGCAAGGCTGGTCAACATTTCACTTAGATGTGAAATCATCATTTTTGGATGGATCTTTATATGAGTGAACCAAGGGTGTCACACATGAAGGCTGCAAGAAGAATCATGAGATACTTAAAAAGATTGAAAAACTATGAAATTTCATTTCAACGAGACTCTGAAAGCAAAGAAGCTATGGTTACTTGTTATTCTGATGATGATTGGTGTGGAGATAAGGAAGATCGAAGAAGCACTACTGGATATTTCTTTCAAGTATTTGGTGCCCCAATCTCGTGGTGCTCAAGAAAGTAACCTATTGTGGCATTATCATCATGTGAGGCTGAATATATAGCAGGATCCTATGTTGTATGTCAAGCAATTTGGATCAGATATGTGCTTGAAAAAATGGAGCTCGAAGTGAACCTCGAAGTGAAGAAACCTCTGGTACTGTAGATTGACAACAAGTCGGCCATAAATCTGGTGAAGAATCCAATTTTGCATGGAAGAAGTAAGCACATCAAAGCTAGATTTTACTTCTTATGGGAGAAGGTGAATCAAGGTGAACTCGAAGTAAGGCATTGCTCAAGTGAAGCACAATTGGCTAACATTTTCACCAAAGGATTGAAAATCGACAAGTTCCTAACTTTGAGAAAGAAATTAGGAATAGTTCAGATCGACAATGATTAATGTGTTTCGACAAATTAGATTATAGGAAGGTATGTTGAGATATAAGATATAATTCAAGTTAAATCATGTGATCAAATATCAAAGCTAGTTAGAGTTTAGAGTTTGTTATTTAGTTTGTTATTTTACTTAGTAGTCAAGTCACTTAGTTGTATCTAAATACACATTTTATAATTCAGTTTTATATCAATCCTTATTTCTTTATTCTCTCTTATTTCTCTCCTCACTAAAAGTGTCTTACGACTAACAATAAATAGCAAATAAAATAGAATATAATTTTATAAAATAATTAACCATTAACTGTCTTCATAGTTAATGTCAACTAATTTTTAACAAATTAACAACTTTTTTAATCTAGTTATTCCAAGTGCTTTGATTAGTTCTAGAATTACAAATTCAACACTATTATTAACGAAATTGAAATTTAATTTAGGTTTATGCTTATAAAATTCTTTTGTACGATTTTTCTTTGCTTCAACAAATTATATTTGGAAATAGATTGTGTCCCTCGATTACGTATTACTCAACTCTTCCAAAGAAAGAGTATTAAGTTTATATTAAACTTAGAAATGAATAAAAATCAACTAAATGAGAAATTATTTGTTTGATTTAATGTGTTAAGTATTTGTAAAAGGATAACTTTTATAAAGAAATGTTTGTTTTATTGAAGAAAAAAATGTGGACTACATAATCTAGTCTTGTTTGACTGTTTGCCTGATATTTTATGTTTTGTCTACTCTTCTTCAGTTTTCTCTACTCTTCTCTCCTAATTCTAGGGTCTGTTTGAAACAATAGAGTATCAAAAGAGAGAGGTTGCAAAGAAAAAGACCCACTTCTCTTACTTGGTAGTGCAAAGAAATGTTGAAGAGAGAACAAATATACATGGGTCCCACCATATTTTGCTTTCTTCTCATTAAAGAGAAGAAAGACAAGAGAAATGTCTATTTCTTTTAGTTTCCAATCATGCCCTTATTTTTACTTGATGTTTCTTTTCCCCTTCTCTAATTATACTTCAAAAAATTGTGATTTTGATGTTCCTAGATCACATTTTACGCTTGTTTAGCCAATGTCAAATTTATTGTATCATTATTTTACATGTTACCCGTTCCTTTTCTTATAAAAACAAATAAATCTTATGAATTAAATTACTTTAAATAATTGAAATAGTAAAATAATTAATTAAATTAAATATATTAAATTATTAATTTTAATTAAAATACATATTAAATAGATGTTGATAAGAAAATATCTTTCTTTAATAATATAAAAATTTGTAGTATTAATTTCTATAATTTAAGGATATTTTTGTCCTTTCAAAAATAATTACACTTCTCTCTCTCTCTTCTATTTCTCTCATACTTCTCTTATAACAAACAAATTATTAAATCTATCCTATTTCTCACTCACTTCTCTCTTCTCACTCATTTCTCACTCACTTCTCTCTTCTCACACTCTTTCTCACATCTTTCTCTCTTCTCATTTTCATCTCACAACCAAACATACCCATAATATCTTTCTTAATGTCACTCTCACTCATCATTAAAACACATAAATATAATTGAGAGAGAGAGAGAATAAAATCAAGAGATAGAGAATAAAATCAAGAGATAGAGAATAAAATCAAGAGATAGAAAAATGAAGGAGAGGTTGCAAAGTGGAAATGCAATTGTGTGCTGGCAAAGTTGCTTAAAGAATTAATAAGAAAATTTCGGTTAGATATAGTTTGAGATTTAAGACTGATTTGAATTGATTCAAAATTCCTTTATAGGATGATGGATCAAATTGCCAGAAGGGGTCAGAGTATATGCATTGGACTTTAAAGACACCATCTAGAATCTACAAAAGTGGGAACTAAAAAAGAATGAGTATTGTGTAACAGCAATATATGTCATGAGTGATTGAAGTAAATTGTTTCCAAGCCTCAAAATTAAAAATTGGCATAATGGTATTATTATTAATTATCATCCGAGGTCTCAAGGGGATCAAAATCTCCCAATAACAAAAATAATAACCACAGGGCATGAGTTTTGGTTTCAAAATCACATGTTAGGGGCAGTTATTTGGGAATGAAGACAAAACGGAAAAACCTTTTAAAACCAAAATCTTCTCCCCCATTATTTCAATTGTGTGAATAGCTTTGGTGCAACCTGCATTGCAAGATTATACTTTATTAGGGAGTACAAAAGAAAATCAAGTAACTCAATGGTTATTTACAAATTAAACATTAATACTTACACATTTGTCAACACAGTACCAATAATCAAAATATTGTCCAGTGCAGTGTTTCTGCCCAGAATCATCACCATTTATCCTTTTTATGCATGCCTGTAGCAATTTAGTGAATTAGTTTTTATTGCAAGAACTTCTTTTCACAAACAAAAATTTGCCAAAATGTATTCTTAGTTTTAAATTTGTCTTTGCAATAAATTGGAGTAGCTGTCATGTGGGTTGGAGTGCAATCAACCTAAGAAATGTAAGATAAGACAACCTACAGTAGACAACCGTCACTAAAATAAACTTTTATTCAGCACAGAACTGAAAACATTATCTTTCATACCCCAAAAAAATGAAAAATGTAATATTGAGGCCTTGGTTTATATCATGTTCCATTGTGTCAGATCTCCAAAAGAATATAGAAAACCGCCTTCCATCACAAATCTGGCCATGGCGGGGAGCCAAAAAAGCCAGCAATATCCACCATGGCAGATGCTTGACAATATTGGTCATGATCCATCTACCTGCATTGTTATATAATTTTCCTCAATTGGAGGATAGTCCTAAATTCCCCCACAACAGACTACAGCATAAGAGTTAAACATTTGATAGAAAGAGAGAGCAGCAAAATGCATCAGGATAAAGGAAAAGCATTTAGAGGTTAGATTGTGGTGTTGTAGCTCGGAAAAATTATTTAGTTTCATCACTATCTAGCCAGTACATCCTCTGACAGATGACTCTAAAACAATCAGATAATAAGATTGTACATCCTCTGCCAGATAACACCTCCAACATTTCCTTTGCTACATAGATTTTCTTTGTTATTTCCATTTCTCTACCTTACTACTACTCCCTTCCCCCGCTCCTTTCATAAATACACTCGTGACTATAAAATTCACCCATCACATTTTTCAATAAACAATATTATAATAAAATGTACAAATTGTGACAGGGATAATATAATGAATCAGTAAATGTAAAATACACTAATAATGCCTATCTACTATCAATTCTTAAACCTGAAAAAAATTGTACTGATAACTTAAATTGAGAACAAAACTCGTCTTCAAATGATTCGGCTTATGATTATACTATTCAGAAAAAATCACACACCTGATATTCAAGTAACGGTCTCACACATTTTGGTTTGCAAGACTCTTCAAGAAATCTCTTCTGATCAACAGGTTCCTCATCAGCCCTGAATTCACAATAAAATCCAAACATGACTTCAAAGCAAAACATTTTTTCACAAACATGATAAAAATAATTTCACACCACAATTGTTTAAGTAGCAAATTGAAATTATAAACAAAAGTGTTAACACAGAAGATACAAATGAATGGAAAAAAAATGCACAGGAAACGGATAGCATTCACATGATGTCCGAGTTCACACAGCTTCACACAGTAGTTAATCTCAGTCGTTAATGTGAGATCAGAAATCAGTTCTGCACCCCTATCATGGATCAAACCTCTGAAATGTGTAACTGTGTGGTACAGTTGCAGCAGCTAATACAAATCCGCCGGAAACATGCGTGTCAAATTGATTAAAGAAATTTTATAATTATTCTATATAATACATGTTTTTCTGGATTAATATTTCACTAAATCAACCACAAGCCTACAATAACCCAGATTCAAATCATCATCACTTTAACATGATAATATCACAAACCAATGAACGCAGTGCAAATCAAAAACAAATGAGCCATAATTTCAACACAAATAACGAAATAGATATAATTAATTATGTACCATCACCTTATATAATTTCTAGAATTAAATTAACTCAATCAATCTCATGAAAAATTACAATAGGAATCTGTTATTTGTATATATTTTCATGAGGAAAACCGCATAAGAAACATTTAATCGTAGTAACGTTTGAAAACCCTAGATTTAAAATTTGGAAACAGAAGAAGCGTTTGCATTGGAATAAAGATATAAACCATAGAAGAGAGAAATGAAAAATGAACGGAATAGAGAAGTTTTGAGGTATACATGGCGGCAGTGCACGAAGAGAGGTTGCGGGAGGTTGGTGACGGTGTTGCTGTTTCGCTTTGGTTTCAAAATTTTGGATCAAGTGTTCTATACTGTATTCTCTTCTATTCCATTCGGGTCGATCCGATTTGTCCAAATCAATCAAATCATTCTAAACTAATAGTATCATTTAGACTTAATATTTATTTTTCGATTATCATTTAAACTTCATATTTTTTTCATCCCTTATTTTTTTTTAATATAGGATTCATTTTGTTGAATTTTTTTTTAAAGTAGCAATGTTATATAATTTAATTATCTTTATTGAGTCTTCTTCTCATTCACCACAACTTACTAATGAAACTGATCACACAATGTCATCGATGAATCATACGAACACCGAAATTTAATTTGTATTTTTTTTTTTCTGGTTGACTTGGTTGTAAGTTAGATTGTTTATTTTTTTTAATTTAGTTGGACAAATAATTATTACTAACTTGGTCGTGAGAGTCATTTTTAATAACGTGACTCTAGCAATACTTGTTACTAACTTTATAACCGTTTTTAATAATTGGTTGTTCTATGTAATTGAATTTATCTTATTTAAATTTAAAACATTTTAAATTAAATTTTAATTTTTAAATTTTGGTTGTTTTAATATTTAAAATTTATAATATTTTAAAATTTTATTTAAACTATAAAATTATTGACTATGTACTTGAAAAACATTATAAGTTTTCATTTTTGTTTTATTTTAAATTTATTATTAAAATAACTATAACATAAATTTAATATTTTTATATTTAAAAATTTATTAAAACTAAAATTTGTGATTTATCTGTGGTTATTTTATGCGGATTTATTTGAGGATCTTTTTGCCAAATATATTACTCATAATGGTTTTAGTTGGTAATCAAAAAGTCAGAAAAAACCATTTTATGCAAAGATTTAGTTAAAATATAGAAAAGGTTGTCCTAATGATTTTGACTATCTATTTTGATTGTATTCTTAAATTATTTTAATAGACTTCAGTTTCTAGTTTTTGTTAAAATATTGTACTTTTAAAGTAAGGGATGTGTTTCATAAAAAAAAAGAAAAAGATGTTACTTATTATTTTCTATGTATTAGACTTATTAATATAATGTAAATAATATGCTAAAGTTAGTATTTTTAGTATTTTCTAAACAAATTATCAAGTGTGTTACAATGACATTATAACATTTAAAATTTAAATAATCGTGAAATTCACATCATACTATTAACAATTTAAAAATTGAGCATTTATAAATTTCAATCCACAAAAATGATAGAGTTATTTAGAGAATCAAAAGTATATCTAATTGAATTAATAAGTCTGGTGTTAAATTGCTCTCTAATAGTACTAAAAAAAATTCAACAACTTCACCCATGATCTTTCCATGTCAAATTGTTGAACATAAGATTTACCTTTCAACCATGAATTCGAATGTTGAACATGCTATTCACCTTTCAACGGTGAATTAGAATGTTGAACATGAGATTCACCTTTCAACATTTATGAACTATCATGTTGAACATAAATATAACCTTTCAATGATTATTATAAACTTTGGAACGATGTCAAATTTTAATTTTTCATTAAAAGTTTTTCGTAAGTTACAATATGGATATTTGGGTCTTAAATTTTTTTGATGCTTAAGATAAAAAATATTTTATGTATCATCTTTATCTATAAGACACACTTTATCTATCATTTTTGTGGATTGAAATTTTTAAATGCTCAGTTTTTAAATTGTTAATAGTATGATGTGAATTTCACGATTATTTAAATTTTAAATGTTATAGTGTCATTGTAACACACTAAATAATTTGTTTAGAAAATACTAAAAATATTAACTTTAGCATATTATTTAAATTATATTAATAAGTCTAATACATAGAAAATAATAAGTAACAAATAAATTAATATATTTTATAGTTACTAATAATAATTATATTTACATTATAAATTAATATATTTTATAGTTACTAATAATAATATTTTAATTATATTTATATTATTTATATTATAAATTAAAATATTTTATAGTTACTAATAATAATGATATTAAAATTAAAAAAAAATTTAAAACTTTAAATATATGATAAAAAAACAAGAAAAACGAAAAAAAATTGGAAACCCTGAAAATTAGCCACATTCGCCAATTCATGTGGCGAAAACACATTGACCAATTCCCAAATGGCGAATGCCTTGAAACAACATTTTAACTAATTAGCTAAACCATTTGGCGAATGCTTGCTGGATGAGTTTCAAAGTTTGTTATTTTGGTAATTTTTTTGAAAGCTTGTTTTATTTGGTAATTAAATTATATAACATTGTTACTTTAAAAAAAATTCCATTTTGTTCTTTTAATTTTATAACGGATCATTTTGATTTCTCAATTATTCAAACTGATTTACGTTTATATTTACCGTCTAAAACGTTAGTCAAAGTCAATTAAAATGCACAGGGGACACACGTGTATTAGTTTATGATGACTTGGCAATGTAATACATAAAAAAAGAATACCTAGATTTTTCATTTCTCTCACACTTCTCTGAAAGTTCTCTCAAACCTCACTCACTAGAACGACGAACACGGGCATGGTGAAGGAAGTGAATTGTTGAAGAACGAAGAAAGCACAAAGAAAAGGGATTTTTGAAGAGAATACTGGTAATGTTTTTTTTAATCTTCGCCCAATTCTATTTTAGGGTTTATCTTGGTTTTTCTGGGATTACATTTTAGGGTTTGTTGGGTATTTCTAGTTTTTGTGATGGATTTAGGGTTTTGTATTTCTGAGTTGAAATGTTATAATTTTTAGCTATATTTCTGTATACTCATAATGTAATATTTTGGTTATTAGGATTGCAAGGATTAGTGACTACACCAACATGTGGATTGTAAGGTATAATCTTTACTTGGCATATATTTTGGTTGTTTACTTAGCATCTGTTATGGTTGTTTGCTGAGATTATCTATTGTTTTTCAGAATGTTCGTTGAGCATATCTTTAGAAATCTGTCATTTTGACAAGACTGGTCTGCTTTTGGTACAAGGTACTGATCAAAGGCACCTTTAGCCTTTAGATTTTGAACGGTTGACCAGAGGCTGGAATACTATGATCAAATTTTGATCCTTCAGAGATCAGTGAACACGTTCAGAGTCACTAGATTCTAATTAATCAGAATCTAAGTTTCGTTGAGCATATCTTTAGAAATCTGGCATTTTGACAAGACTGGTCTGCTTTTGGTACAAGGTACGGATCAAAGGCACCTTTAGCCTTTAGATTTTGAACTGTTGACCAGAGGCTGGAATACTATGATCAAATTTTGATCCTTTAGAGGTCAGTGAACACGTTCAGAGTCACTAGATTCTAATCAATCAGAATCTAAGTTTCATTGCTTATCCATATATGCTTTTAACATAGTCTATTCAAAGTTGAATTCTAAACTTGTGATCCTTGTGATCCTACACAATTGAACATTTATTAGTATACCCATTTGTTCTTTAAGTACTTTGTTATCATTAAAAAACTCAAGGGATATGAAAAAATTTGTTCTAACAATCTCCTCTTTTATGATGACCTAAGAGTCTATTGTACTAACTTGATAACATAAGAGTCTGAGGTTTGTAAGTTTCCCCTGAGTCTAATAGTTTAAAGTTTGAGTTTTGTAAGCTCCCCTTAAGTCCTATCCAAGTTAATTAAACTTATCTTGATAAAATAATATTCAAAAATAAATAATGATCAAGGTGGTAAATAAAAGCATTTAAAAAATAATTTTATCCTCTAAAATACTCCCATGAATTTCTCCCCATTTTGTCATCTACAAAAAGTGGACTAGTGCATGTCAGCATAGAGAGAGAAAAATATATGTGAGAAAAAATTAAATTCTGATAAAAATAGAAAAAATAACTTTTGCACTTCCCAGCAGGGAGAAACGACTAGATTAGTTGAAATGTTGCTACACTTCTCAAGACAGTCACACGTTATTTTGAAATTGCAACTATCAGAAGTAATCATTTTAATAAAGAGCTAGAGTATTAATATTAAACCATCTGATTTTTCAACTTCCATAAGCAACGTAAGAGTCACTCAAACTCTTCTATAAAAGCACACTTCCATAGACAGACTTTCCACGTCTTCAAGTAACTTTTCTTACTTCTTAACAACAACGAGTACTCCTTTTGAAAAAACTGAGATCATCGAAGCAACAAAAACCATTGTTG